GAAATTGTAAATCTAATTGACGCTCTATGCCTTCAGAAAGGATGTGGCCATTTCTTGCTTTGTAACTTGATTTCAGAGCATTCTAGTCCGACCAGTGGATGAACTGACTCAACAATTTTATGGCTTTTAACTTCAATCTATGTCGAGCAAATGTAACTTCAGGGTGTAGATTTTCAAGACTCCCAAATGGAGCCTGAAGTGTTTATCAAAGACTCGCCAATTTTATACTCCAAATTTTGTGTTCCCATCAATTTTATGAAAAATCTGACTCTACTTGTCAGTGACCCCTTTGCTTGGCTTCTCAGACTTCATGGGTTAATAATCTACCAAATCCCTCAAGGGGAAACCTAGTAAAGAGTATGGCACTCCTCTTGAGCTTGATCACTTCAGTCTGGGCTACCTTAGCAGCTCCAAACTCTTAAGTTTCGCCTCTCCCACACTGTGATATTGCCAAATGCTCTGCTGGCTTCTGTGCTTCTAATAAAAATTCCTCTGCCTGGATTTTCCATTTGTACTCCATACAATAAGTGGGGAAATGCCTTAGGGAGAAGCATATCTTGCAGGTATTATTTGCTTTCTGTGGTTCATTTCTGTCTCTGAGATTTTGGCCATTAAGTCCTAGCTGCTTCAGTGTATCATCTACAGTTTTAAACAATTTTTAATGGAATAATTTTTAGCTCTGATATTGATTGTTGTCTGTGGGATCATGGGTCTGCTGCAAGTGGCTTTCTATATTGACAAAAGAAAATCCCAGTGTTTTTTGAGAAGTTCCGTTTGTGTAATACCTGGGTTTGTATTAATTCAAATGCAAGTCTTTCAACTTGTGGAGTTCTGTGGTTTGTTTAAGTGATACAGTGTTTACTTTGGGTGCTCCTTCCATACCTGTGTGCCCTCAGGAGGGTTTTGGAGACTTGAAAACCCGCAACTCCACATAAGGAACTATGTCATCTTCCCCACTTTTTTGGTAAACATCTGTACATTTCTCATCCTTGATATGTTAAAGAAACTGAACATGTCCAAATGTGTCTTTTTATCAATCTCATCATAATCCTGTTGCTACAACTTGGACAATCATGCATAATCCATTCAGGAAGTTCTCTCTTGCTAAGTTGTGCCAGCTACCCACCTTTATACTGCAAAGAAACTTATTTTACTGTTTTCCAACAGTTTCCCAATGTACTGTAGGTGTCTGTTTTTATACCGCCCTCCTTGTGACCTTCAAATTTCTGGAGAGCCGTAGCTAAAGTTCTCTTTTTTCTTATACCAACATCCCTCTTGTAATAAATGTTGTATTAAATAAATGAATGAGTGAATAAATGAGTCACTCCCTCTTCCCTTAGAAGTATTCTGGGTTCCTGCCACACCAGTCATTGACTTTTTCCTCAAATGAGTCTTTGTCATCTGTAGTGGGCTGGAATTGTGTTCTCCAAAGGATAAGGCCTAATCTTAATGCCCTGTGCTTATGAATGTGATCTTATTTCTAAGAAAGATCAATAAAAATGTAAGGGTCTCAAGACAAGATCATCCTAGATTATATAGGTCCAAGAAAATTGCACTGGATAAACTAAACAGGCAGACAGGTTTTTGCATATGGCTGTTGCAGTAGGGGAAAGAGATTGAACGCAACTCCTATAAAGCAAAGGCAAGAGAATTGTGAGTGCTGTGGGGAGCTGGTAGGGCACATGTAGGAGAACCTAAAAGAATAGGCTAGTCATTGTGATTAGGTCTTTGAGATGTGTTTGTTGATTGTCAAATAACCTGGGAAATGGGAACTATCTTCTTTGATAATTACATTTCAAAGAATGGCTCCAGGTCCTTGAGAAAAACATTTCTGGGAGGAGATTTACATTTTCAAGGGTTGAGGGAGAATTTAAAATTGGAAAATTTCTAAGTAAATGCTTTAAGAAATGGGAAATTAGGGGCCTATAGCCCAGAGGACTCAGTCTAGTACAGCAGAAGTGAATGGCAAGGCCATCTTGATCATGTGGGCCTTAAATCAATGGCGGCATCCCTATGTTCATATAAGAGGTATCTTTATAAGAAACCGAAAAGGAGAGGACAGAGTCGAAGAAAGGAAAAGAATCAAATGCAGGGACAGAGATGAGCCAAGAATTGCTAACATCTGTCAGAAGCTAAGGGAGAGGCAAGGATTGGATTCTCCTCCAGAGCCTCTGGAGCCTCTAACTCTGACAACACCTTGATTTAGGAGTTTTGACCTCCAGAAAGAAAATGTAAGAAAATGAATTTCTGTTGTTTTAAGCCTCCCAGTTTGTAGTTGTTAAAGCAGCTTTGGGAAAATAAATACCATCTTTTTGGAAGTCTCTTTCTTTGACTTGCCATTTAACTTATCAAAATTCTATATCTTATTTACAGCTCATCAGAATTGTGGTCCTTAGTCCCCTTTCCCATAATTGATAGTGTCAACTGAAGTTATGGCTTCTTTCTCTGAGTGCTGTTGATAATGATGATGATAAAGTATGAGAGCTAAAACTTGTTTAGTGTTTGATTTATATCTTATCTCTTTGTAAAATCATAATAAGGTAGGGACTGTTATTATTCCACATTAAGGATGATGTATCGCTAATTGGAAGAATCAAAATTCATATCAAGATATGTCCAAGTGCAGAGCCGATGTGCTTAACCCCTTTGTATTTGTTTGTTCATACAACTCAATGTTTACCTGTCTTATGTCTCATATTTTCTTGCATTATAATTATCCATGCATTTCTTTTTCTTTTCTGGTACAAACAATTCAACAGAGGTAATAGAAATCACAGATGCATACTCATATTTATTTAATTTTACTTTTAAAGGTCTTTTTAACATTATGTTACTGCATTTTTTAAAAAAAAATTGAGTACATTATTCAAAAAGGAATTTTCGGCAACTTGCTTGAATACTTTTAACCTTTAAATGATTTTAAGATTATGTCTTATTTATCTTTTTACAACATTTGGCATAATTGTTTAAATATTAGAAATGCCCATATTTCATTAAAATGAATATAGTTAACCCCAACATTAGCTCCTCCATGTCCTCCAAATCCCCAGCTTTCTAGATACACATTTTTCTTTAGTTTTAATACAATGGTAAAAGACCTTGTTTGGCATATAGTGAGAAGCTCAATCTTCTTCTCACAACATTTCTGAATATTTTTTAGGCTGGGAGAGGGCTCCATTTTCTATGATAACCTGTCACTTCAGTTGTTTTCCTTTGAACTCAGCAGCCAAATCCACTCTGAGCTCATCTCTTAGTCCTCTTGCTATACCCAGTACTACTCAACTGACACAACAGTGTTGTGGGGATGAACTGTTAGTAATGGCTTGAAAAATTGAGGGTTGAAGCTTATCATAGGTTTTACATTTCCTCTACCATTAAGCAAACAGGCCAAAATTCAGTGAGTGAGTGGTGGCACTGTGTTGCACACTGAAGAAACAGTGGTCTGCAAACTGGTAAAAGTTTCTGCCGTCATGTGGCCCATACTCTAGTCAGGAGAACACAAAATTCACCCGGGCACAAGGCAAACATAGAATTATAGCTCAGGTAAACATAATGAAAGAAAGGTCCATGATGGATGGAGAGCTACAGCGGTGGCCTTGAACTTAGAGCTGAGGAATGAATCTTCATTAACAAGACCTGGATCATGGATGGAGAGCAGGGGAGATGAATTGGAGAGTGTCCACAGCATGTGCAAACAAGTGATACTAAGGAGGAGCAAGGTAGATGGCAGCAACTGCAAGAAAGCCTGTGTGCTAGGGGTTCATAGACCCAGAGGGGGCAAGAGAGAGAGAGAAATAAGTCTGGAGAAACTACACTGAACTACTTTAACAAATGCACAGTAGCATGCCTTAGGTGTTCTTAACACATGTGATTTTAATCCTGAACTTAGTGGGGAGATATCCAACAGTCTGATGTAGCAGTTTGACAAGATACATTTTGTATTTTAGAAGAAAAAATTTAGGTAGAGACAAGAATAATGTAGGTAAGGAATGGTAGATGCAGGGGTTTTAGAAAAGAAGGTCTTAGTCTAGGTGGGAGATGATATTCTAGACTAAGAATTTAAGAATTCAAACTGGATATGGAAATTTCTCACAAATTCTCTCCTTAGGCCCTTCCCTTATTCTTTCTACTATTTTCTCTACTTCCACTTTCTCTCCTTCAAGGGCATCCTCTACCGTCATCTTCTTGTTTATCTTTTTCTGGACTCACACCTTCCCTGCACAATAATTTTAATAATGCACTAGTATGTGGGTAATTTGACACTAAATCTCCCATAGTTTGGAGCCCAGCTTGTGCTTCCAACCATTTTGTCATGCTATTGCCAAATGACCACATTTCCACCCTTAGTAATACAAGCACGTGAAAGAATTATTGAAATCACATCATTGTTTCAGCATATCTAAGCTCAAATTATTAGTCACAGGCTTTCATCAGAACTTCCAGGGCTGTGGGGCTATGTGTAGGGATGGACACTTTCTTTCTTTGATTTTTTTTTTAAGAGAAAGGATTTTTTTTAATGTTTTATTTTTTAGTTTTCGGTGGACACAACATCTTTGTTGGTATGTGGTGCTGAGGATCGAACCCGGGCCGCACGCATGCCAGGCGAGCGCGCTACCGCTTGAGCCACATCCCCAGCCCCGGGATGGACACTTTCATTCCCATTGAACACAGTCTACTGCTTATTTCCTCAAACCCTTCATATCCACCGTCTCATTTGCTGCAGCTATACTGTTTATACCTGCTAGGCAAGGATTGCCTTTTTATTATTGTGTAGTTTTCATTCTGTATTTCATGCAGGTCCTTCAAGTGGGCCCATTTTGCTAACCTCAAATGGCTCACAAAAACTAAAAGCTAAACCCAGTAGTCTATACAGAGTAAGCAATTTATGTTAACAACATAGAATCCAAGTGCTTAGTCATTATGATTTAGAACTCTGTTCATTTCTGGGCAGGAAGAATACCTATCCCTAACATTGGCTCTGTTCTTGTGCTCTTTTAAAGGGAACGTCCTTCAGAACTTCCCATGTTTCCATATCCAGATTTCTTCACCAAGGCGGATAAGAACTTGACAAAAATCGTTGACTATCACGTAAGATTGACTTTCTTAAACTAGGAGCAAAAGCTGTGTTCAAAAGCACTTTGAATTGTAAAATGTAGCCCTGATAAGGAAATATTAGTACATAGCATTTAAAATAGAGTCATGATTGGTCATTGAATGGAATGGTGGATGCAAGGATTTTATCTCACTATGCTATCCACATAGTGAGATGCATGAGGTTTGCTATACTCAGTGCCTTCACTGGGTACAGGAAACTTGGGAAATACTAGCCTAATCCTGTTTCCTGAATTAGTACTGATTTCTTGTGACAAGAATCTAATATTGAACACTGAATACTGATTTCTTCTGCAGTGTAATTCTAATAACAGAACAAAAAAATTTTTGACTCAATTTTCAGTGACCATTCTTTACCCTTGACGAATTAGAAAGACTTTTAATCGCTTTGTTTTTAATATGCGTTAAAGAAGCAGTGACAATATAAGGCTATTCACGTAAGACACTTTAATTTATTGTGCTATATTTAATTGATAATTGCTTACCTAGTTCCTCTCATTTTATGTCTACATTATTTTTAGCAGTAGAGCTGGAGTAAGAGACATTATTTTTTGTGTTTTCTTTGAACGCAAAAAGAATTCAATAACATAAAAAATGTGATTATTTTATCACCAGTAGTTCAATATTCATCAGATTCTGATTAAATATCACCAGATTAATTTTTCACATTCTATTTATTTATCTCTTAATAAAAAATAGGGGATTATATCATTTATTGGTTGCATTGAATAGTTACATACCACATAGCTAATATTTAAGCCACTGTAGCAATAAATTTAAATATTGAAGTTTGGAGACTGCTTGATATCTTAGAGTCACAAAAAGAGCTACTGTTTGGTTCTACTGTTGAATAATAAAGTATTTGCTAACCAACATATAATATATTTGATTCATTCTCAAAAAATTTGAATGATCCTTAGGGTTACTTAATAAGACAGATGGGGCTGGGGTTGTGGCTCAGTGATAGAGCATTTCCCTAGCATGTGTGAGGCACTGAATTAAATTCTTAGCACTACGTATAAATAAAGGTCCATCAACATCTTAAAAGATTTTTTTAAAAAGAGGATAATGACAGAAAAGAGGATGGGAAATAGCTTCTAACAACTGTCATCTTTGTTCTTTTGTTGTATATGCATTATTCAGGTAATTGCTGCCATTGGCCAGCTTATAGTGTAGCTAAAGAAAGGTAAAGGAATCCTGTCTGAAACTGTGCTAGAGTTTCTGAGATCCACGTTGTTTGATATGTAGCCTAATAAAATAGTTAATAGTTTTTAGTTTTGATTTGGGAAAGCTTATGGAAGTGCCTCTAAATATTATATTATTAAAGTATTCATGCACATATCATTTCCTTTCAGATGTATTTCACACTTTTAAAAATGCTCTTACATTATTAGTTTGATCCTCACAACAACTTTGTAAAACATCTGTCAATAAGAATAATTAGTGGTTCATAGTTCAGTTACTTGCCCAAAGTTTTAACGTTTGTAAATGATGAAGTCTGTGCACAAAATCAGATCTCTGGACTCCAAATCCACTTTCCTTTTCCTTTCTTCATGGCACCTCAAGTTCTTTGTGTATAGTCTCTACCAGGATTGGAGGCCAGAGGATGGGATCTGTAATATTGACAAGAAACAAAAACACATTCCTGAACCTACAGATATAATTGTACCTACAAGCCAACTGACTTTTGTGAGTGACTGTAATAATTCAAGGAATAAGAAATATCTAATAGATCAGTGGATATTAAGGTTCCTTGTATAGAGCAGGTGTTCCATAGCATGATGATCAAATCACTGAGTTCATGGGATGAATAAAGGTGTAAATGGTGCTTCTATTTCCCATCAACTTCAAGTATATGTGCATCCTCCTAGTTACCATAATGGATGATTAAAATGACATGCTCAAATCAAAACAATACAATGATTTTTTTATAATATATTTTTTTTAGTTTTAGGTGGACACAATATCTTTATTTTTACATTTATGTGGTGCTGAGGATCAAGTGCATACTAGACGAGCACTCTACCACTGAGCCACAACCCCAGCCCAATACAATGATTTATCTACAATGATTTATCTACTAGTCATGGTCAGCTGAGACAAAATTAATTTTATTTTTTCTGGGCTTTATAAGATGAAGGATTTTGATGTATTGTGAATTCCAGCCATGACAAGTTTTAAGAAAGGAATTAAGGAGGAAGAGTAGCCTCTTGGACAATAGTAATACAGTAACCTTTCTTGGCAGGCAGCTTTCATATGTATTTATTCATTTATACATGCTGTTTTGGAAACCTAAAATTTTGATTTTACTGACAGTTCTTAAAAATTAATCCTCTTGATTTTTCACAGTGTAAATAGCAAAGTATGAGATAGGTACATGGCGTACCATATATAAGGTACATTAGTTATCTTTATCCATAGAAAATATTATATTAAAATATATTAAACCAACTATTACTTATATGCTATAACATAAATTGATAGTCTTATTAAACAGAATATTATTTAGTTTACTATATGTGAAGGAATTATGTGTCACTCTTAAATATCATAGAACTTGTAGACTAAAACAAAACATGAATTTAAGGCTGTGCCTGAATGTTCTGGATGTTTTTCCTCAATTTTCTATATATTTCCTGCAAAAAAAAAATGGTTTCTGAGAAACCAAATATGTGAGCAATAACTGTGTAGATGCAATCTCGAAGAAAGTGCTGATAATTTGTATTTCTTATGTCATTAAAACCTAACTGGGATATATAATATAATAAGTATATGTAATGATATTTTATGCTTTGATTTTTTTAATGATTCAGTGAATGCTTTATAATTAAGTATAATAGTTTGATGTAATCACACATGTATACAATTTAATTTGCTCCATTTCAGTCCTGGTGCCTCCTTTCCCTCCCCCTAGTCCTCTTCCTCTACTTGTCTTCCTTTATTTATTTATTTAGCTAATCATTTTTAATGCTTTAGTGCTTTATAGATATATAGAAAGGTGTATTCAGTGTGGTATGTTTATACAGCATATAGTGTTATTTTGTCAAATTCATTCCACACTTCTCCCCTTTCCCATTCCATCTCTCTTAATGTCATTCTGCTATGAATATTTTGACATTTTACAGAATTGTAGGCCTTCAGCAGGGCTGAATGATATCTATGGACTCTAAAGTTTGGTTCTGCTTATTATTATCTGTACATCTCAGTTGTCAAATAGTAGTCAGGATTCACAGCACTGATACACATAATAACCTATAAATTAACTGAGAGGCTCCTTAGCTCATTTGTGCTTGTGCGTGTGCATGAACTGAGGGTGTAGGTAGTGTCCTTAGGAATTTCTAAATTTTATGCTGAGTTATTCTTCCGTAAACCTTTTTTTTTTGTCTGAAAGGGAGTTTGCCATCATTTTATATATTCCCTGATAAAATGTATAAGGATAGGGAAAAATTTTCTCTTGATGATGTTTGATTTATCATCATAACTTCCAACACTGATTACTCAGATATGCTGATGTCAGATATGCTATTATTGGCATGAATTAACTGATTAGTTAAGATGAATCCCCTAGAATTGGTCTGCAGCCAACCATTAACTTCATTTCAATCTCATATGGAATAGTACCACAATTTTTGCCTTCCATTTATATTTTTTCCTATATTTTTGTTTGTTTTGTATTAGCTTAGTTTTATTTTTCATTTTATGACCCATGCTGTCATATAAATATCAATATTGATGAAGAAAGTAAAATCCTTTGGGATATAGAAAACCAAAACCTTTTATCTCTTCTTTCGAATGTTAAAAATGTTAAAAATACTAAGAGAGAATTCTGTTTTTGTGGGGATCGTATGTGTTTTAATAGGTGGTTTGTATATTTTCCTAGTACGGTAGAAGAGTATAAGATTCCTAAGGATTGTCTGCCGGGGTGCCGGGGTGGGGGTGGAAGACTAAGAAATATGTATATAAGTATCTTCATTTGAAGAAGCTAAATTGATATTTTTTCATGGAAATTACATGTAAATGAAGTTTTCTCTCTAACAGTGGCAGATAGAAATGAATTTGCGAAGGAAAGAAGAGGCGATGAATGAGGCCAAAAAACGGAAAGATAAAGACTTAGAAGAGAAAAAGCACTTTGAAGAAATTATGAAGAGAAGAGAAGAGAAACTGCATAAGCAAACCAAACCTTATGAGCTTCCTCAGATGACTGAAGCAATTTCTTTAGAAAAGAAAATGTCTCACAAAAAAATGGAGATCACATTGCCAGAAATTAATAACAGACCAAGAGAGCTTCATATTAGGAATATTTGTTGTAATTAATCTGAGGTCATTGGGTGGAAAGGAGCTGTCATCCTAGTGCAAGCTGTTCAATAGTCATATTTTAGTCCTATATTGGTAGTCAACTTTTAGTCAGTTGAAGGAAGTGATTTCACCAGTTAAAAATTTCCAATTATATAACTATTGCTTTTCTCAGTTGATGCTTGTCTTGTGATTGTATAGCATTCTTGATCAGTCATTCCCAGAATGTTGAGTTTCATTGGACTATAAGATGGAAATGAATTCCAAATTAATGAATCACTGAATAAGAGTTATTTCTTGAAAATAGAGTGAGCATTTGATTATACTCCTATAGTCACTATTATTCAAATAAATGAGGTTGTGGCATCTATTTGCATTTGCATTTTATTGTTGACATTTAAGTAAACACTATGACAGAGACTTGAATTTGCTAAATTACTATATGTAGGCAAATCTGGAAGGGCCAGTCACCTTTGATGCACTTGATCTTTAATGGATGCCAGCAGAAATCCTATGAGTGACAGTGGTTTTACTTTGTCAGATGAGTTTATGGCAATGGATTAAGATGACCCTGCCAAGTGCAGTATAAACTACTGGAGGCATTCATCCCGTTAGTAGTCATTTTTTAAAGAGTATTTCACTTCATCTGAAGCTTTCAATCTATGAGTAATAATAATGAAAAAAGGGATCCTGTGATGCCTTATATTCCTTTTCTGAAAAACATAGATAATATATTTTTCAATTTCACACCCACAGCTTGGAGATACTCAAGAGACAGGTACATTATCAGGTCTGTTGAATGACCACACAGGTCAGAAAGGTAACATATATTAATGATGGGAGCTGGAGAATGCCTATCCCATCTAGAGAAATGTCTTGCCACTTGACTACATGCTGACATGTATGAACTGTGTTGTAGTATCTTCTAGTCTTTCAGAAAGAAACCTTTAAATGGATTTTTTAAAATGAAATTCGTACAGTGTATATTTTAGTCAGCTTTTGCATTGTTGTGACCAAAAGTCTGACAAGAACAATTTAGAGAAGGAAAACCTTATGTGGAATTCATGGTTTCAGAGGTTTAGTCCATGATCAGCCAACTCCATAGCTTTGGGTCCCAAGATGAGGCAGAACATCATGGCGGAAGGGCATGGCAGAAGAAAGCAGCTCCAATGGCACGCTGCCAGCGACCTCTCTCCTCCAGCCACATCCTACCTGCCTGCAGTTACCTCTCAGTTAACACATATCCACTGATTAGGTTACAACTCTCATAAGCTAATCATTTCACCTCTGAACATTCTTGCATTGTCTCACATAGGAGCTTTTGTGGGATGCCTCATATCTAAATCCTAACACAAAGTTTCAAATTGTTTCGAGAATTTTTTTTATTATTTAAGTTTTTATTAGTGCATTATAGTTATGCCCAATAGGGTTCATTTTCATATAATTATACAAGCATGGAATATAATTCTCTCCAATTCAATCTAGTACTTGATCTCCCCCACCCCACTCCTTCCTCCCCCTGTTCCCTTTTTTTAAACTACAGATATTCTATTTACTTATAGTTTTTAAAAATTAATGTAGGATAGATTTATACATCAAGGTGAAATTCACTGTGCCATATTCATATATGTACATACGGTAGTTTGATCAGTTTCATTCTACTGTTCTTCCCTTTTACTGTCCCTCCTCCTCTGCCTTCAATCCACATCCTTTACTCCATTTTCTATTTGTATGTAACTCCCCCCACACACTTATTTTGGGTTAGGTTTTGCATGTAAGAGAAAAAAAAAATTCAGTTCTTGACTTCCTGGGTCTGGCTTATTTCACGTAGCATGATATTCTCCAGTTCCATCCATTTATCAGCAAATGCTATAATTTCATTCTTTTTTATGGATGAGTAAAACTCAGCTGTATATACGTATGACATTTTCCTAATCCATTTATCTATTGACAGGCATCTAACTTGGTTCCCTTGGTTGTTGTAAAGTGTGCTGTTATAAATATTGCTGTGGCTGTATCCCTATAGAATGCTGATTTTAGATCTGTTGGATATATACCAAGGAGTGGAATAGCTGGGTATGAGGTAGTTCCATCCCTACTTTTTTTTTTTTTTTTGTAGTTGAACACAAAACCTTTATTTTATTTATTTGTTTTTTATGTGGTGTTGAGGATTGAAGCCAGGGCCTCACGTATGCTAGGCCAGCGCTCTAATGCTGAGCCCCAGCCCCAGCCTGCATCCCTACTTTTTTGAGTATTCTCCATACTGCTTTCCAGAGAGGTTGTACTAATTTGCAGTTCCTCCAACAATGTATGAATACACATTTCCCCTCATATCCTCACTAGCATTTACTATTATTTGTGTTCTTGATAATTGCCATTCTGACTGGAGTAAGATAGAATCTTAGTGCAGCTTTGATTTGCATTTCCTTGATTGCTAGAGACGTTGATTGTTTTTTCATATATTTCTTGGCTATTTGAATTTTTTCTTTTGAGAAGTATCTATTTGTTATTTTGCCCATTTATAAATTGGATTGGTTCTTTTTTTGTCTTTTTTTTTTTTTTTTTTTAGTTTTTATACAGTCTGAATATCAATCCCCTGTCTGAGGAGTAGAAGGCCCATTCTCTGTTCTGTAGGCTCTCTTCATGCTCTTGTTTCCTTCCTGGGTAGAAGATTTTTAAGTTGATGCCATCCCTCTTATTGATTCTTGGTTTTCTTTCTTTTGCTTTAGGAGTCTTGTTCAGGAAGTTGGTGCCTGTGCTAATATATTGGAGTATTGAGCCTACGTTTTCTTTTAGAAATTACAGAGTTTCTGGTTTAATTCCTGGGTCTTTGATCCATTTTGAGTTGATTTTTGCTCAGGATGAGAGATAGGGATCTAGGTTCATTCCTCTAAATAGGGAAATCTCAGCACCATTTGTTAGAAAGCTTATCTTTTCTCCAATGTCTGTTTTGAATATTTCTTTTGAATTTTTTTTTTTTTTTGAATATCAGATGATTGTATCTATGGGGATTTGTCTCTGTCTTCTAATTCCATTGGTCTTCATGTCTGTTTTGGTGCCAATGGCAAATAATTTTTTAAAATCATATTTTAGTTTAAGTTTGACACATGGGCCACAAATTTGTGACCTATATTATGTGAGTTTAAGGTATCATTATTTGTTTAAAATAACAAAATATGTGGTATAAAAATCTTGGGGGTAAGTTTCTGTTTTCATTCATATATAGCTGATTCAAACTTGGTTTTTATTCCCATTTTGTGTTATCCTTGTGTCCTTCTACAGAGAATATTCAAGTTGTTACAAATAAAATTTCCTTCAACTATTGCTTTATTTACACGTGAAAATAAATCTCTCTTAATGAAAACCAGCCCGTTCCATCTCTCTTAATGAAGACCAGCCAATTCCATTTCTCTGAATCACTTTTCCTCCAAAAGCTTGTTCTAGCAGGTGTTTATCATCTTCTAGGACTCTTCCCATCACCCAGTTCTAATCCTATGGAAGTCCCAGATACTCTCATCCTTCCATGCAAACCACTCTCTTGTTAAGAACCACTAGTGACATGAGCCTTACCAAACCCTGGCTGCTTTTTTAAGTGATAATCTTTCTATTGGTTTACAGGCAGATGTAACCACTGAGTTAGAAATTGAAGGGAAGGGACTCTAGCATCTGACTGCTACTTGTAAGAATTTCAACAAATCCTGCTGTTTTAAGCACCAACTTCATGAAAAGAAACCTGGTCCCTCCATTTCTGAAACTTTCTGGCATTTTGAGACACAATCTTGTCTGCTTTAAGACTTTCCCACTACTGACTTTGGTTTATTTTGCTCTTCTCTGCTTAGATTTGTTCCTGCTTGTTCAACTGCTTTCTAACCTCCACAGTTGTGTTAGTATTTCCAACACACTATCGTCTTTTATCCTTATGGATTCATACCTTTGTTTTAATAACCGCTTTGCTCTCAGTAAATGGTGATTTAGAAGAGAGAAAAAAAATCTCTATATAGGTATATATGAAGAAAGAAAGAAATGGAGAAAAAATGGTTAAAATACTTATACTTTAATTCTTAAATTATTCATTTTTATTTAGCAATAAAACATTTCTCACTGTTGTCTTATGTCTCTGACTCTTCTTGAAATATTAGCAAAGATTGTGCTTGTAAATCTGGATCTACATCCTAGTTTTACCTCTGGTTAGCTATGATATAATAGGCAGTCACCGAACCCTTTGTACTTCATTTTGCTAATTTATAAAATGGATATAATTAATATAAAGATTGCCATCAATCAGAAGGTAATTAGGGAAAAACTCTCATCAATCATTTTAACAGAATTGATGTCAACAATTATTCTAAAAGGTGTTCGAGAACTGAGAAAATGAGAAAGGAACATAGAAACAATACAGAAACAGTAACTGGAGAAAAATGCTACCATTCCTAGTCCATGGAATCAAAAAGAATGGGATTATCAGAATGTGGGGATTAGAGGAGACACCTCACACAGTGGGGCTCAGGCCGTTGAGGGGGGGACACTGCCTCTCTATTGCTGACACTTCTGAGGGACACAACAGGTGGTTCTGGGAGCCCAGGAAAAAAAATGGAAACCTGAACAAACTGTCTACTTTGAAGACCACACATGCAGGAAGAGAAAGGCAATTGGACGAATCGTTTCTTCATCCTCTCCATTCTTGTACATGTGCTCTCCTTTCCCAGCATCACACAGCAAAAGACAAAAGCRTAGGTTTGGAGCTGTCACTAGTTAAATTACTGGAAAGAATGTGCAACATAATGCCTATGACATATTAGACTATGTCATAATGTTACCCCCCTTTCTTTCTTTCATTTTGCATCATAGGTCCTTTTCTCGGCTCTTTCTGCAACTCTCCCAACACACACACACACACACACACACACACACACACACACACAGGAGTTTGGAAGAAAAAAATCATTTTTTTTAAGTTAATGTAAATGGCTGAAAAAGAAACTTCACTACAAGTCATTTTTAGAACAAATTTTCATTTTTTC